GCTCCTGAGCGATGGCCTGCGTCCTGCAGGGCTGGTGGGAAGCCAGCCCTGGATCGGTGGCTGCAAGTCAGAAGGTTGGGGTGTTGTGTAGATTCCCCCAACTGCCTCTGACAGTGTGAGGAATAATGGCCTCTCAGTTTCTGAGCTCTGAGCTCGCTCCCAGTCTCCAGGGTCTGAGAGAGTCAGTGCAAAGGTGGCAGCTGGTGATGAGGATGGAGAAGTGGGAATATGAGGTCTGGACCAAGGTCTACCTTCTGGGACTGGACTTGGGCGGGCTGCTCACTGTACAGAGGCAGCGGAGGGACTGGGTTACAGATGCAGATCCTGAAAACGGCCAGGATAGGATGGGAACAGACGGTGGCTCCTTGAGTAGGAGGATGAGGGGAGAGAAGGATCCACGACAGAACCTCAGAGCACTCTGGAGAGAAGATGGAGCGAGGGGCCCAGGCTTCTCGTCTCTAGGCATCTGTGTAGAGCTGTACAGAACCGAGTCTGTGCCCTCCTACTGGCCAAGAGAAATGCCCTGCTTTCTGATTGCATCTTTTTTTCTGACTACACTTCACCATATTTCATGCCTTCCTAAATGCCTCTATTTTCTCAAGACTTCCTTGTCTTAAAAGAAAAACGAGACCCAGGACCAGCTTTCTCCTGGCACTACCATTCCTCTTTCTCCGTTCTGCACCTCCTCCTAACGTAACGCTTGCACATGGCCGCCAAGTAGTTTTTCCTTTTCCTTAGGATCCCACATTGAGCACAGTAAGTGGGGCTGACATCCCTAACAGCTTCTAACCAACCTTCACAGCCGCTAGCCAGGCCTAATTCCTCTGAGATACTAAGAAGACACTGGGGAAAATGGCTTGGGACCTTCCGGGCTTGTTTCAGAACTCATGGATGATGTAATGCTGTGGTGATGTCTCACAGTGAGGCTGGGGAGGGACACGGAAGACCAGAAGTTGTAGCGACAGGATCCCTCAGCAGTGCGCACGGCCTGTGCTCAGCTGGTAACCGAAAGCTTGGTGCCTGGGATCCACCCAGAGGCTGCTGTTGCTGTTAGGTGCCACCACGTTGCTTCCAGCTCATCGCAGCCCTGGGAACAATTAGGAAATGCTGGCAGGTCCTGCACCGTGGTCACAGTCACTTCCATGTCTGAGGCCGCTCTTGGAGCTGCTGTGTCACCCAATCTCAGGGAGGGCCTTCCTTTTTTTTTTATTGACTCTCAACTTTGCCTGACATGATGTTCTCCAACGACTGGTTCATCCTGTTAACATGTCCCAAGCACATGAGCTTCTAAGGAGCACCCTGGGTCACTTCACCAACAAACAGCACAATCCAAAGGCATCAAAGCTTTCTCCGTCTTCCATCCTCACTGTTCACTTGGGGATCTACTTCCAAAACTTGAGCCACCGAAAACCCAGTGGAGCGAAGTTCTCGGTCACACCTGAGGCTGCCACAGGCAGGACCTGACTCAGCAGTTACTGGGTTTTGTTGCTGCTGTTACGGCGGATCGTGAATTCAATGAAATCTGAGGAATCTTCCATGAAATTTGTCAGATGTCAGAGGAATTGAGACAGCCACCGATTTCATCTGGGTTTTCAGAAAAATGATTTAAGCATTTAAGCTCTACTATAGAAATGAAGAGCAGCTCACATGCACGTGGCTGCAGACATCCAGGTACCTATCCACACGGCTGAGCCCCAGCTAGTGTGTCAGACCTTCCATGCACGCTTTAAGAGGAAAACATCTTTCTAAGCTGCGGTGTTTAAGGCTGGGAAGGGGGAAATCCAAGAGTGCAGCTCCAATTTCACAGCACTCCCACTATCTCGCTAACATGCTGCTGTTACTTTTAGCTATCTTGCCCCAGTTCTTAATAGTCTAGTAAAGATGTGGAAGACATGATTCGATTTATAAAGATAATTTAAAGGAGTCTTTAATTTCCACACTTGGGGGGGGGAAGAAGAAAAGGATTTTCAGGGCCTGCTGAATATTCCTAAAGTTACATTCAAGGTATGAAATGTAAACCAGACTTAGTTTTAGAATCTATAGTATAAACTGACATCTTCGTGGGAAAAATGACAACTGAATTTCTCAAGAAAAATATACCTTCTTTGAGAAAAAAAAATTTCCAAACATTTCTAAAGCATTGTTTAGAGCTTTTGGGTGGGATCTCATAACCATAAATCCTCCCCAAAAAATACACTCCAAAACCTAAAACTTTTCTAGACCTAGAAAGAAAGTCATTAAGTGTATATTTATCTAAGTATCTTAGTATATCTGAAGGAAAAAAAAGAACACAAAGTATAATATGGGCAACAATAGAAAATTTTCCTTCTCTTTTCATGATTTCTAAATTGATGGCTGAAGTGAAAATTATAACCTGTCTGATGCTGTTCCCTAAGTCTGCAGGGAGATAGGTGGGACAATTATATAATAACTGGGGGAAGTGTGAATTTAAATGTAAAGAGAAGGAAGGCTTCTGTGCTTTACTTACCCTCGTAAAATGCTGAATGAAAGCAGTGGACAATGATAAGTCACTATCACTTAATCACACATCTCTGCAAATAGCTACACTCATAAGACAGTATAGAGAAAACAGAATGCTCAACACATTCAAGCCAGCCACAGATCTGAGGCAGACCGTGGATGAATCTCATGGTGTGTGACGCTGTAGAATGATGATGGAAAGCCAAAATCAGAAGTCACACACTGTACAAGTTCTGTTTATGTAACATACTCAAAGGTGACAAAATTAGAGGCACAGAGAACAGATCATTCACTGCCAGGGGTCAGAGACGGTGTGGACAGGGGTCAACCTCACTACAAAGAGGTCACAGAAGAGAGGTCCCCAGGGTGATGAATAGTCCTGCATCTTGACTGTGTGGGCACACATGCCAATAATTGCCTGGTGACACTGATCAACCCCTGTGTTTCCACATGTGGTCTGCTGGTCAACCTCCACCAGCACCACCTCCACTGTTACCCTGATATAGATGCCTCTCTTCCTGATGGTGCTGCCTCGTTTCCAAATGCCACAGAGGCAGTTCTAATGAGATGCCAGGCTGCCCTCCACTCCCAACATGCTTTAGCATGAGGGCATCGCTTCTGCCCTTTCTGCCCTCTCCACATGGCGTCTCCTGACACCTGCAGCCGAGTGTCACTTGTCCTTTAATGCTTCCTTCTCCCTGGGCTCCTGTTACCAATCACTTAGTTCATTTGATAGGATGCTTTCACAAATGTCTTTTTTATTCTCATTCTCAGCATTAGCATTTAGAATCTCATCAACTCTTGCTTAAAACTTGACAAGTAGATCAACAATGTAGACTTCTCTTTTTACCACGAAAAAAAAAACCCAAAAATCTTGACAAGAACTATTTCCATGGACTACTTCATCTTTCAAACAAGGGCCTCCAAACAACATAAACAAGTCCAGTCATTGCCAAGGAAGCAAAACTAGGACAGCCTTCTACTGTTAAAATCTGGGTGACCTGCGATAGCCAGAATGGAAAAAACTGAGGGGTCAAAGTCCTGGAATGGGAGACCCTGAAGTGGCAGAATGAGCCCTCTGCAGAGCCTATCGTGTAAGAGAAACTCCTGCAGGACCTTGGAGAGGTGCACTTTCAAGCTGTACCCTCATCCGCCATCTTTGAGCCTGACACCACTGTCTTCAACTCAGCTGATCAAGAGATTTGGTTGTTATGCAATCCATATATTATCCTTGTTTCTTTTCTTTATCTTTTTCCCTTGTTTACTGTAGTCAACAGTCTTGGCACCAGCAGTCAGGAAATTAAAAGGCGCATTGCCATGGGAAAGTCTGCTGTTAGGGACCTCTCCAAAGTACTGAAGAGCAATGGTGTCTCTCTGGAGACTAAGGTACATCTGATACAGGCTATGGTCTTTGCAATCACTTGTTATGCATCAGAGAGTTGGACAATGACCAAGGAGGATAGAAGGAGAATTGATGCCTTTGAGATGTGGTGCTGGAGAAGAGTATTGAATGTACCATGGACTGCCAAGAAAACAAACAGATTCAACCTGGAGAGGGTTAAACCAGGCTGCTCCTTGGAGGCAAGGATTCTGAGGCTCCGTTTAACATACTTTGGACATGTTGTGAGGAGAGACCGCTCCTTAGAGAGGGACATCATGCTTGGGAGGGTGGAGGGACAGCGCAGGAGGGGAAGGCCCTCTATGAGGTGGATTGATTCAGTGATTGGGATAATTGGGATGGGAGTGTTGGAGACAGTGCAATTGGCACAGGACAGAGCGGAGTTTAGGGCTGTTGTACATAGGGTCACTATGAGTCGCAAGCGACTTGACGGCACATAACAACAAACAACAACAACTTTCCTAAAAATTTTTTTTTCTTGTATACTGGTTTGCTTACAAGGTTTGTATACATTGTTTTTCACACTGGATCTTTCCCATTTCCTTTACCCATCATATTGTGTAAACCTGTGATTTCCCCCTGCCCCTCCTCACCCCTCGGCTCCGACCCTCCCCCCTTGGATCCTCATACCCATTTTACTAGTTATCTTTCTACTTCCACAGTATTGATCTTATACCGTATTTGTCTTTATGGGACTGAGTTAGTTCATTTAGCATAATGTTCTCCAGTCCCTCCCAAGTTATGTAGTAAACTTTGAAATCTTGGTTTCTGTGTTCTGCATAGTATTCCATTGTTTTCTGAGGGTGAGATTCAATCTTAGTGGGTTCTGACCTGTACTTTACCCCATTCTGGTTCTTGTTCTGGACTATTCACATTTTAAGAACTGGGTCTGTTCCAGTATCACTTGGTCACCTATGACTAGACTGCACCAAACTAGTTTGAAGCCCTGTTTCAATGTCTTGCCAATCTTATTTATTCTGAAGAATGAATGTTTGGGGAATTTTTGACATGATAATTTGAAGCAGGTAAGCATATTTATTTAAGTTGGAGAGATTTACCTTCACAGTTATATACGTTATAGCTGACATGTGTCATCTCAGTAGAAGTCCAAAACACATACCTTCACTCTGCGAGCAATGCTGAGGAACTGACAGGTCTTATCGTAAAGTTCTTCCAGGTGTTCCCTGTCCCAGTAGAAATCAGGAGTGATCAGGAAGTCTGAACTCAGGTTTATACGATGTCTTTAAAAAAACAAAAAAAAAAAAGGACAAAGTTGTTTCTTAATTTTTTTTTTAACTTGAGCTAAAAAGCATTTATGCTGTATTTCATATCAACGTGGTACTTTAGAAAAACTCATTTTTTAAAATGCTGCTGGTAGGTGCTGTGGAGTCAGCTCCAAATGGCAGCAGGGCTGCACAGAACAGAATGAACCCTGATGAGACTCGGACCTTTAGGGTACTCCTGATGGGCATTCACGGGAGACCACTTATGAAACAATCTCAAAATTCTCAAGTCCATTCACTTCATGATTCCAACAGTGTTTACAAAGTAGCTTAAAAACCAAACCCCTCCCATTTTGTTTCCAAATTTAAATGTCTCCTTTTTCATTATTAATCACACCCACCCTTTGAGGGAACAGGTAATAGAACTGAATGACTTAAAAGCAAAAACAGGTAAAACCGGAGCAGTCCTATCCTCATCCTTCTCTTTTCCCCACTCCCTGTAACCACCCTTATTAGCGTCTTTCGTATTCTTCCAGTGTGTTTTTGCTGATGAGGACAGCACAGGAGAGGGCAGGTTTCAGAATGGCTTGTTCTTAGGGTCGCTATGAGCAGTACGCAACTCGAAGGCACCTAACAACAACCACAACAACAGTGTGTTCTTATGCAAATACTAGAGGGACACACACAAACCTTAATTTCTTTTTATACAATAGGTCTGTGCTTATTTTTAGAAAATTTAAGTTGCAAGAATAACACATGACTAGCCGCTCACTGTAGAAGACAAAATGCAGCAGAGGGTGATTCATAAAAACCGTGGCAAGTCCTCAGACATTACTGCTGTTGTGCACACAACCCAAAGACCTCACCTCCCCGGAGGATAAGGGCCTGCGATGAGTTTCATGTGTCCTTCTAGGAATTCTGTGCATTCATGTGAGTCTGTGTGCTCATGTGCACATCTGTGTGTAGACAGGCACATACATGCACACTTACACAGCAAGATACACAGAAACATTTCCTTTTATGTATGCAGAAGCACCCTGCCATGCCTAACTTGTGATTTAATGGTGCACCTGACATAACTTGCTATGTGTCTATTTGCAGATTACATTTCTTTTAATAACACAAACCCATTATTATTGCAAAAATACAAGAACCACAAGGTTAGAAAAGCTGGTCTTTATAAGAATTACTCAACAGCTGATGGATATTTAGTTCTAACCTCCTAGTTGTGAGAATTTAAGTTGCTAGATCCAGTCTGTTTATATCATGGAATGAAGAGAGAGGAATCCTTCCCCCCACCTCTTGGAGTTTGAGGTGTTAGTTTTTGGGAAAGAGAGACTGGGGGGTGGTTTAGTTTGTGCCTGCCCTGAGCTGGGAGGAAGGCACGGGTGCTCAAACACTGGACGAAGCATCTCAGGAGAAGGTGGAAAAGCACCTCTGTGATACATACTTGACTAGGAACTTGGGTGACTCACCCCTCACGAGGAGAGACCCACAGGGCAGGACAGGGCACCTCTCTGAGAAGAAGCCCTGACACCTGCCAGGCAGCCTTGGGAAGGCACAAGACTGCAGAGATTTGCCTGGACGATTCCTTAACTGCATTTCTCAAATCTACTGCCCAGCGCTTCCCATTTTACCATCTCTGGAAATGGGAGGCATCTGAAAATCGAGGGTGTCCTGGAGGTGGCAAGCGTGACTCACTCACCACCGTGGAGTCAGAAGTGACCCACAGCTGACCCTCCTCTGGGCTTTCAGAGTCTGTAAGGCGCAGGGGAGGAGACTGTCCTTTGCCCTGCAGAGTGGCTGATGGATTCAAACTGCATGCCTTTCGGCTGGCGGCAGTGACTTCATGGCTGCCCTGGTGGCGTATTGCTCTGCCAAGCCAAAAGCTCGCAGTCTAAATTCACCAACTGCTCTGAAGGACAATGATGGGCAATCGCCTCCCATGTAATTTACAGCCTCTGAAAACTTGCTGTAGGGTCTTCTCTGAGTCCCGACTGAGGTACGCAGCAACGATGGACTGAGATAGGTCCAGCCCTCACTGGTGAATGTGACCTTGTTTGGGACACAGAGTTTTCTTTGCAAATGTTATTCATGAAGTTAAACAATGATGTCTGGGCTCAGTACAGCAGAGCCTGATCTTAATCCCTCCTGAGTGATTTTTTTATAAAAGTGGGCAGGCAGGAAGCCATCCCTCACACAGAAAGGGAACAGCACTCGAGGATCCTACAGGCCCAACAATGCTCCAAATTGCCAAGGGGTGGCGGAGACTGAAGACGGCCAGGAATGATCTTCCCCGGCAGACCTCTGGTGCGCTGACCCAAATGGCTACCTTCCAAAGCAAAGGAAAAGGAAATTTCTGTTGTGCAAAGCCACCCACTTGGTAGTAATTTGTCAAGGCAGCCCTAGGAAATGAAGATGGTTGTCTCAGACTTTACCATCTTATATCCATTATGAGTTCCTTGTTACGTCTGCCCAAGAGAGGATATGATCAAGTCCACATCCAAGAAAGACTGAAGGAGTGACCTCCGTAACACATACATTCTCTGATAAAAAACCACCGTGACCTAGTGTGACCAGCACCACTGTTCCTTTCTCATGGTACCAGTGTCTCAGGGTCAATGACATGTGCTATATAACAACACTGGAATAACTGGCATTTGATCATTCCCACATTCTGTTGGATCACCTTCCTTGGGAATGAGAATCCTTACTTGTTATTATTCCCAAGGAAGGTGATCCACAGAATGCAGAAATTGTAGGACAATATTATTGATATCATATCATATGTAAGCAAAATACTGCTAAAAATCATTCAAACAAAAACAGCCAGAACAGTACATAGAGAACTGCCAGAAATTCAAGCCAGGTTAGAGAAGAGGGGTCACTGCTGATGCCAGACGGATCCTGGCTGAAAACAGAGAATGCCAGAAGAATGTCTATTTGTGCATTATTGACTATGAAAAGGCATTCAGCTGTGTGGATTATAACAACTATGGCTAACATAGAGAAGAGTGGGAATCCCAGAACCCTTGTGTTCATTTGTGAAACCTACACCTAGACCAAGAGGCTGTTGTTTGAACAGAGCAAGGAAACACTACATAGTTTACAATCAGAAAAGGTGTGTGTCAGGGCTGAATCCTCTCTCCATATGTGTTCAATCTGTAAACTGAGCAAATCAGTTGAGAAGCTGGACTCAGTGAAGAACTTGGCATCAGAATTGGGAAAAGACTCATCAACAACCTATGATATGCAGATGACACAACCTTGCTTGCTGAAAGCAAGGAGGACTTGAAGAACTTGCTGCAGAAGATCATCGACTGCAGCCTTCAATATGGATTACACCTTAAAATCAAGAAAACAAAAATCTTCAACACTGGGCCAAAAGGCAGTACAAAGAAGATGGAGAAAAGACTGAAATTATCAACCATTTCCTCTTGCTTGGATCCACAATCAATACCCTTGGTACCAACAATCAGATTAGATGTACTGCACTGGGAAATTCTGCTGTCAGGGACCTCTCCAAATTACTGCAAAGCAATGATGTCTGTTTGAAGACTCAGGTGTGCCCAATCCAAGTCATGCTCTTTTCAGTCTCATGCTACGCATCAGAGAGCTGGACAATGAATAAGGATGACAGAAGAATTGATGCCTTTGAGCTGTGGTGCTGGGAGTACTGAGTATCCCATGGATGGCCAGAAGAACAAACAGGTCTGTCTCGGAGAAGGTGCAGCCAGAGTGCTCCTTGGCAGCAAGAACGGCAGAACTTCATCTCATGTGCTTCGGGCACGTTGCTAGGAGAGGGTTTTCCTTGGAAAGTGACATCAGGCTTGGAAAGATACAGGGTCAGAGAAAGAGGGGAAGACCCTCAATGAAATGGATTAACACACAGTGACTACAGCAACAGGCTTAAGTATGTCAGAGATGATGAGGATGGCACAGGACAGAACAGGGCTCAGACCTGTTATTCCACAGAGTTGCTGAGTCATACTTGACTCAATGGCACCTAACAAGAACATTATGACACAGAGATCTGTTTTCACTGAGAATTCCCACCAAGTTCTAGAACACATCTTCCTAATATAAAAGGACACCCGCTGTGCTTCCTGACGGGGGTTATATGTGGACTAATTATGTGAGATAGAGTCTCACACAGTTGACACAGTATCCGGAGGGGCTAGTCCTTGCAGAAGGACACTGTGCATGGTAGAAGGTAGAGGGTCGGCAAAGGAGAAGGCCCTCACTGAGATGGACTGGCACAAGGTCTTCAACAGTGAGGCTACACACCACTGTGCCCGTGAGGATGGCAGGTCTGGACAACAGGTTTAGTCCTGTCATGCACACAGGGTCACGAGGAGCCCATCTTGAAGGAGATGGGCTGACACAGTCATGGCAACAATCGGCCCAAGCACACGGGAGATCACAAGGATGGCGCTGGACACGGCAAGGCTCATTCATGCCTTCGCTCACAGGCTCACCATGAGTCGACTACAGCTGACTCGATGGCGCCTAACAACAACCACAGGAGCCAGAAACAACGTGGCAGCACCTGACAGCACTTCTGAAGCAGCAGCAACACCACCACCACCACCAACACAGCACTCAAGCAGATGGACTGGCTCAAGTGTGTCAGAGATGATGAGGACGGCACAGGCTAGGACAGGGTTCAGATCGATTTTCCATTGGGTCGTGTGAGTCCTCCTTGACTCGACAGCATTTAACACCAGCAATGTAGCACAGGGAGTTCTGGTGGCCTAGCAGTAAGATGCTGAGCTGCAATCTCAAAGGCATATGGTTTGAATCCACCAGCTGCTTTGCGGGAGAAGGATGGACAATCTCCTCCCCTGTGATCTCTGAAAATTCACGGGAGGTCTGGTAGCAATAAAGCACAACTACGCAGACGTCCCTTGATGGTGAGAGCACCAGTGGTCTGCCGCAGTTTGCCTACCACACTGTGAATCGCCGCTACCGGGAGTTCCTGAATCTGCAGACCCGGCTAGAAGAGAAACCAGATCTGCGAAAGTTCATCAAAAATGTGAAAGGTCCTAAAAAGCTCTTTCCAGATCTTCCCTTTGGGAATATGGATAGTGACAGAGTAGAAGCCCGTAAGAGCCTTCTGGAATCATTCCTAAAGCAACTATGTGCCATTCCTGAAATTGCCAACAGTGAGGAGATGCAGGAGTTCTTAGCTCTCAACACTGATGCTCGTATTGCCTTTGTCAAGAAACCATTCATGGTCTCCAGGATAGACAAGTTGGGTCTGTTGTGATGTTACCTGATTCATCTCTTATTCGGATTATTTGCGACTTCTCTCTCTTTTCTTTTGTGAGTTTTTTTTTTCTATAATTATATTTTATTAATTTTCATAAACATTTACAGAGAAAAAAAAAAAGCACAACTACGCCTAAGGCAAGAGCTCTGTCTGCTTACAGCCCCAATAAGAAAGCAGCTGCTGATCTCAACCAGCGGCAAATGTTTGCTCCTAACGGGAGAGTGACAGCCATTGTTTCCTTGAGACCACTACATATTTTCTTTTCAGAGAAAATTTTCACCTTAAGGCAAAGAGTTCACCCAATTTCTGCATAACTTCTTTATGAGATAGCTTCACTTTTTTCCCAGCTTTTAAAGCCTATTTAAAAGAAAAGAAAATTTTTAAGAGAAGACAGTATTTACAATAAGTAAAAGAACCATAAAGCAAATTCTGTGATAATATAATTTTAATTCCATATAAGTACTAGCTCCCGGATGGTCTCCCAACCTGATGTGCTGTCTTAACCTGATGTGCAATTAAAAAAATCTACTAGGTATTTCACGTTCCTTTTTCCCATTTCCCTTCTCACAAGCATTTCTAATGACATATATTCCTAATCTGCTATCAGAAAAGCATTTTTCTCCAATATGATTATAAATATTTTTTCACAGTACAAAGTGCAATTCAGATTATTTCCAAGGAATTTTGAAATTTTAATATAACTTCATGTATATTTTCTCTGCCATTATTTTTCTTTCCCCTCACACTGTGGTAAAACACTTTTTAAAATAAAAACACAGGGTCAGGGGCCCTTTAGAGTAGTGAGAGAAGATCTTCACCCTGAAACCCACAGCGTCCCTTTTCAGCAGGAAGTAGCTAAGAGAATACGCTGTCCCCTTTTCCTTATGACTCAGGGTGAAGTCTCTCTCAGGGAGGAGTGATAGGGAATGGCAAAGGATACACTGACAAAGAAGATTAATCAGAACTGGCTTTGACAAGCACTGTGGCATTTGGACAAGAACAAACTGGGAGGAGGGTAGAGAGAATAGTGCAACAATGAATGAGTGGAAGCCCAAAATCTCTGTAAATGTTTATGAAAATTAATAAAATATAATTATAGAAATAAAAAAAAAAATAAAAAAAAATAAAAACACAGGGTCATTATCTCAGAAAGAAGATATATCGAGTGTCTTCCTTTAAGTACACTAAATGCACTATTCAGTCAGAAAAAAAAAACACAGATTCCAATTTCTATTAGTAAAGAAATATGTTTTCTTATTCTACTGTTTTTCCTTAGCTTCTGACATCGAAAACAGTGTATTTAACATGTAACAAGGGATTAAGTTTTTTAAAATTTAGTGGCATTTTCCTCATATTTACCATTATGTTCTTGTACTCCTATGTTGTTACACTATATTGAAAACTATGTATTTTTCTCTAACTAGAAATGAATCAATAGCAAACAAAAATTTATATCATTACCTCTGGAATTGATTGAATAGAGTTAATAAATTTATCCAGGGATGCTTCCCAAATAGCCAGTTTCACTAGAGAAAAACAACAACAAACCAATGCTGATGATACTTTCACTTAATAATTTTTTTAAGCATAATACTCAATCATTTATTGCTTTTTTTCCCACTTAATAATTTTTATCACAGTCACATTTTAGTAAACGTACAATTGCACAGTACTTTTCAGCTGTTTTAACAGTAGTTCAAGAGACAAGTACTGAAGATTTAAAACTGAAATAGAACACTACTTATTATAAAGGACAGCACTAAACTAAGAAAAAACAGAGGAATGTGAACATTATTTCCAAATCATGCAGTGAGATCAAAGCTATGTTCTGATTTTCTAACCACACACCTCAGAAAACCAGAATGTGTAAGGTACATCCTGAAACCGTGGGTAGCTCTGTAGACAGAGCAGACATGATGAGGGGAGGCAGGGAATGTTCGATTCTGAAGCCCCCTGTGTGGTGTGGCCAGCCCGCAGCACCACTTGGCAGAGCTCAGGGGCACATCAGGTTTCCGCCAGAGAATCTGAGATTCCCCACCTGCAGTTTTACTTAGGTGCACCTGTAGGTTGGTTGGTTTGCAGAAAAAACCCAAATCAACTGTGACTTGGTCCCACTCCCACAAAACACAGAGTCTTGTTTTTCTATACACAGACCTTTGTTGTTACATGAAACTTGCCAGCAGGAAGGGGGAAATTCCAGTCTGCCTAGACTTTGGTCTAGGACCTTTGGAAGAAAGGTCTGGTGATTTATTTTAGAAAAATAAGAGAAGGATAGAAAAAGAGGAAGAAAAAGAGAACAGTCCTACAGAGGACAGTTCTGCTTGGCCACATACGGGGGCTGCCATAAGTCTGCATCAGTTTGATACCAACTGGACTTTGGTACCACTCTGGGCTTTCTCTGTGTGGTCTACAGACACATAGTAACAATAATCACACAGCCAGGTGAGGAGAGGAAAAGAAAGGAAATAATAATAATAATAATACTGCAAAGAGTATTTCTGGAGGAGCTAAGCTTTATCAGTTAAGAAGTAACTCCAACACAGTGAAGTAACTATTGATAACCAGTAACTCCAACACAGTGTATACTCTATTTGCTTTCTCCGGAACAAACATGCTGAGGTTTTGCTGAGTAGCTTCTGAAAATGTGCCAGAATCTTCATTAAATATTTAACGTACCTCAGGTGAAATAAAAATAGTGTAACTTACCTGAAAGGCAAAGCGCATTTGAGAAGGCAAATTTTTCTAGAATGGTATCATCTGAGTCTAGTTCCGAGTTTAACTTGATTTCTCCTCGGTGGAGCTTTGACTGCCCCCTGCAGAAGGGAAAACAAAGTCACTTCTGAATTTTAAAAGGCAATTCAACTTCTTCTTTTGAAGAAAGTCACCTTACAGTCTTTCTGGAAATCATTGCTGGCAATTTATATCACAAGTCTTATGAATGTTCGCCTATCTTCTGGTGCAAGTAATTCTTATTTCTAGAAATTTATCCTAAGGAAATAACCAAAGATGCAAAAGAACAAAGTGTAAAAAACTCCCTGTGGTCACACGTATTTCCACATAACACAATTTTAAAACGCATGCCCTATTAGGCTATGAGTTCCACCATATGGCGAGGCGGCTGTTGCTGCTAGGTGCCATCGAGTCAAGTATGACTCCCAGCGACCCTGTGAACAACAGACCTGAACCCTGTCCTGTCCTGTGTCGTCCTCACCGTCTCTGACACACATGAACCTACTGCTGCAGCTACCGAGTCAATCCACCTCTCTTTCACCGACCCTTCACCTTTCCAAGCAAGATGTCCCTTTCCAAGGAAAAATCTTTCCTAGCAATGTGCCCAAAGTATGTGAGACAAAATTTGATCATCTCTGCATCTATGGACCTCTCCGGCTATACTTTCTCCAAGACATATGTTTGCTCTTTTGGCAACCCATGGGGTGTTCAGTACGCTTCTCTACCACCACAGCTCAAAGGTATCAGTTCTTCTGTCATCACTATTCAATGTCCAGCTCTACTCATGATTGGACAGGACTATACTGTAGTAATGTGAAAGAGGTAAACAGCAGCTTTGGGGTGGGAACATGCAAATAAGGCATGTGATCTACTGAGGAGACTGGCCAGCTCTGTTACCCCACAAGGCTTAGATGAACAGGTTTAGGGACAGAAAACAGGACTCTCAATACCAGCAAGGAACGAGAAGCAGAAAGCATAGCCTGTGTCCTTTCGGGCTGGAGACTCCTGAGGGACACGGACTGGGGCCTGGACTCCTGAGAGGGATGGACTGGGGTCTGGGGCCTGGACTCCTGAGTGAGACAAACTAGGACCTGGACTACCAAGTGAGATGGACTGGTGCCTGGACTTTTAAGTGAGATGGACTGGAGCCTGGACTACTGAGCGACAAGGACTGGGGCCTGGACTACTGAGTGGGGATGAACTGGTGCCCAGACTCCTGAGGGACATGGACTGGTGCCTCGACTACTGAGAGAGATGGACCAGGGCGTGGACTAATGAGTGCGACGGACTGGGACCTGGACTCCTGAGCAGGACGGACTGCGGCCTGGACTGCTTAGCAGTATGGACTGGTGACTGGACTACTGAGCAACAAGGACTAGGACCTGGACTACTGAGAGACACGGACTGGAGCCTGGACTCTTGAGCGACACGGACTGGAGCCTGGACTCCTGAGCGAGACTGACTGGGACCTGGACTCTGAGCGATATGGACTGGAGCCTGGACTGCTGAGTGACAAGGACTAAGACCTGGACTACTGAGCGAGATGGACTGAGGCCCAGACTACTGTGCAACATGGACTGGGGCCTGGACTCCAGCAGCTGCAGAACTATGAGGACAGGTGCTGGAGACGCAGAGGCCCCGGAAGCAGAGTGGAGTTGGAACCACTGCCGCATGGAGCCAGAGCCGAGGCTTTAACCCTGGCCCACTGAAGGGCTGGGGGTGGGGTAGGGCGAAGGGATGCCGTCATTTGCAGGATTCAAAGGTTTTGTTAACACTGACCCAAAACCTCGAGGCTGAATGTCAGAGGCCAGGCAAGCACACCTAGAAGCTATCCTGACTGAGAAACTGCACTGTTTTACAACTTGAACTGTAGCAGAGAACTTCCAGAAGTCCAGGCTGGGTTTCGAAGGGGTCGTGGTACTAGGGATATTGTAGCTGATGTTAGATGGATCTTAGCTGAAAGCAGGGAATACCAGAGGAATATATATCTGTGTTTCATTGACTATGCAAAGGTGTTTGACTGTGTGGATCATAACAAACTGAGGCTGACTCTGAGAAGAATGGGAATCCCAGAACACTTGATTGTGCTAAGAAGAAACCTATACTTGGACCAAGGGGCAGTCGTCAGAACAGAGCAAGAAAACATTGCATGGTTCAAAATTGGGAAGGGCGTACGCCAGGGATGTGTCCTGTCTCCATACCTTTTCAACCTATATGCAGAACAGATTATCCGGGAGGCTGGGCTATATGAGGAGGAATGTGGGGTCAAGATCAGTGGAAGCTCTATCAACAATCTGTGATATGCAGATGATACAACCCTGCTTGCTGAAACTGAGGAGGACCTGAAGTGCTTGCTGCAGAGGGTCAAGGACTACAGCATCCAATATGGATTGAGGCTCAATGTCAAGAAGACAAAGATTCTCACCACTGGAACAACTGGCAGCATCAGGATGGATGGTGAAGAGATTGAGATTGTTCACAGCTTCAGTTTGCTTGGCTCCACAGTCAACACTCTCAGCACCAGTAGCCAGGAAATTAGAAGATGTATTTCCATGGGAAAGTCTGCTGTTAGGGACCTCTCCAAAGTACTGAAGAGCAATGGTGTCTCTTTGGAGACTAAGGTGTGTCTGATACAGGCCATGGCCTTTGCTATCACTTGTTATGCATCAGAGAGTTGGACAATGACTAAGGAGGATAGAAGGAGAACTGATGCCTTTGAGCTGTGGTGCTGGAGAAGAGTATTGAGAATACCATGGACTGCTAGGAGAACAAACAGATTCATCCTGGAAAGGGTCAAACTGGGCTGTTCCTTGGAGGCAAGGATTCTAAGGCTCCGTCTAACATACTTTGGACATGTTGCAAGGAGGGACAGGTCCTTGGAGAGGGACATCATGCTTGGTAGGGTGGAGGGGCAGCGCAGGAGGGAAAGGCCCTCTGTGAGGTGGATTGATTCAGTGACTGGGGTAATCGGGACGTGTGTATCGGAGATGGTGCGATTGGCACAGGACAGAGCAGCGTTTAGGGATGTTGTACATAGGGTCGCTATGATTTGCAAACGACTCGACGGCACATAACAACAACAACAACAACAACAACAACTCCCCCATTAAAGGGAGCTCTGGTGGCTGACTGAGCAAGCTGCACTGCCAATCTGACGGAGGCTGTTCGAAGCCACCAGCTGCTCTGAGTGAGAAAGACACCCAACCCCTCCTCCCATGTGATTTTCAGCCTCTGAAAACCTGCAGGACGGTCAGCTGTAAGTTGGTTCTGATTGTGAGTTCCATGTGGCCATGACAACAGATCAAGAGATGCACCAGGAGAGCAGCAAGCGCCTTAGGAGAGATAGATAGCTGGTGTCGAGATTGACAGGAGAAGTAGTGGGAATGTGCGGCCATGTCTGATCTCAGAGGAAACTATTTTGTACTGCAGATGATGATGATGTAAATTCCTCCCCTAGAGTTAGTCAGGCTACCATCCCATGCTTCCTGCAATGGTTTACAGTGTCCACAACAAAGGTGTATGTGGAGGACTTCAAATTATTTTTTTAAAATTCATTTTAATGAATGTTTACGGAGATTTTGGATTACAATACATTCATCACTGCATTTTTCTCCCTGCCCACCCCTCCCCTCAGTTTGCTCTTCTCTTTGAAAAGTAAAAGAAAAATTATTTCATTGGTATAGAATTCCCCCCTCCCCCCCCAGTACACTCCTCTATGTAACCTTCATTCTGGACTCTTGTCATAACCATAATACCCAATCATATATCACTTTCAAACAGTTCTCTCCCTCATCTGCTTCAATGCAGTATACATAATTTATCTAATAGGACTTTAAATTATTGAGGAGCAATGATATTAGTTTGAGGACTAAGGTGTGCCTAATTCAGCCCATGGTCTTTTCAGTTACTTGTGATGCATCTGAGAACTGGAACTATCAATAAGGATGACAGAAGAATTGATGCCTTTGAGTTGTGGTGTTTGGGAAGAGTCCTGAATATCCCATGGACTGCCAAAAGAAAAACCAGAGAATCTTAGAGAAGGTACACCCAGAGTGCTCCCTGGAGGCAAAGATGACAAAGCTTTGTCTCACATACTCTGGGCATGTTTCTAGGAGAAGCAATTCCTTAGAGAAGAACATCACGCTTGGAAAGGTGGAGAGTTGGTGAAGGAGAGGAAGACCCTCAACCAGATGGACTGACACAGTAACTGCAGCCGTGGGGTGATGTGTGTCAAGAGATTGTGAGGTTGGTGCAGGACAGGACAGGGTTCAGATCTGCTGTTTATAGGGTCACTATGGGTTGTACTTGACTTAATAGCACCTAACAACAAACAACAGTTTCCTTGTAACAAGAGAACTGACCCAGAGGGCAGACAGTCATGCAAAGGCAGATTCAGGTACCAGAGCAATACTGCTAATGGCCAAGAACTGCTGGGCCACTGGAAGTCTTAGGGGAGAGGGATCTTCCCTCAGAGCTTTCAGAGAGCACGGACCTGTATCTTAATTTTGAACTTGGAGCCTCCAGGACTATGAGAGAACGAATGTTCTGCTGTGACTTGGTTTGTGTTCCTGTCACAGCAGCCAACACAGCTAGGAAGCTAACGCAGCTACCACTGCAGAGCTGTCGTCATGCCCTGGCTAAGGTCTCTTCCAAATCATCCCAGGTCTCTGCTCTTCAATTCCTTTCCTAACCACCTACTTCCCCCTTAACATTCCACTAGGCAGGCGCTTCGGTGAGCAGAGACCTTTCCACCCAGTCAGGCGGCCTGCTCCTCTGCCCTCTGTGCTGAGACACGAGACAGGAAAGAGCTAACCCACTGCTGGCCTATACCCCCTACCCGAGAACAGTGCCACACGCTCTACGTGCACACACCCCGTCTCCAAGGGGTTCTGCGCTCCCCCTCGCACTAATTTTTTATATACAAAACTGAAAGAATGGGTTTAATGAACAGAAAACATGACCAGAATAATTGGTAAGTTCATTTTGACAAAGGCATACTATCTTCCTGACTTTGATTGCTCAGAGTTTTCACCACTTGGGTGTTGTTGTTTTGTTGTTTCTATGTGCCACTGAGTCGCTTGCAACTCACAGCAATCCTATGTACAAGAGCCCTAAATCCTACTCTATCCTGTGCCAACCTCACCGTCTCTGACACACCTACTCTCACTACCACAATCACAGAATCGATCCATCTCATTGAGGGTCTTCCTCTCTTGCGCCGTCCCTCCACTCTGCCAAACATGATGTCCCTCTCCAAGGACCAGTCCCTCCTTGCAACATGCCCAAAGCATGTCAGACAAAGCTTAGAATCCTTGACTCCAGGAAGCATCCTGGCTTTACCCTCTCTAGGATCTGTTTGTTCTCCTGGCAGCCCATGGTATATTTAACACCATTCTACAGCACCACAGCTCAAAGGCATCAATTCTCTTTCTATCATCCCTAGTCATTCAGGCGCACCTTAGTCTCCAGCCTGGCGTCGTTGCTTTTCAGTACTCTAGAGAGGTCCCTGACAGCTGACTTTCCCAACGCAATTCGTCTCTCGATTTTCTGGCTGCTGTTACCAAGAGTGTTCACTGTGGAGCCAAAAAAACTAAGACTGTTAACTGTGTTACTCGTACTTTTAATTGTAGGTAGCTGGAGACGTTAGAAAAACCATGTTGATCTAAGGGCAAGTATTAATTACTTATGCTTTATATTTGTACCAGTAACTGTTAGGACTAGTCTCCCGATTCATCCTTGGTCTCCTCTTCTGCTCCCCCCACCCCAGAGGGTCAGCACACAGCGCTCACTCGGTTTTCACGTAGCTGAGCTCCTCGTTCTCCCAGTGCACCAGGGCGACCTCGTACGGCTGGATCTCGTGCTTTTCTAGAACTTGCATCACGTGCTGCATCTGGAAGGAAAGGAACGTGTATGTGAAGAGCGTGTAGTAATGCTGACGATGCTCACATTACTTACTTATTGTGATTTTAGTGAAAGTGTACAGAAAGGATGGATTCCCATTCATCCACTCAAATACCTTTTCCATTTCAGGACCTTTCTTTTGTGCTTGGTTTTTAAGCAAAAAGAGCAAAAGCAAATTCGCTATAATACTAACTAGTTAGAATGACACTTTCACTTGTTTTTAAATGTGAGAAACATAGCTGATGCGAACGATCCTAACAAGGATCTGTATTTCACAAGCCAAAGAAAAACCACTCATAACAGTTCTAATCCTTAAGTCTTTCTTTTCTTTCTTGATGTGAAAGTGACATACTTGTAAAAACATCAACATACCCTAAGTCATTGCCACTGAGTCCATTCCAAGTGACAGTGACCCCTCCAGGACAGGGAAGAACTGCGTTACAGGGACCCGAGGTGGAAATCTTTCAGGAAATGGGCTGCCAAGTCTTTCTAACACAGAACAAACGAATGGGTGAGGGTTCGAATCAGAACTGCTAAGTACTTAACCACTGAGCTACCAGAGCTCATTTTAAACAACACACAGGTACAGGAAGTAAAGCTCTGTGTCTGCTCTTCTGAAGACCTAATTCCCCGAGGAAATATATATTTATTCCAGTGACTGACCCTTACGAGTACACCTTTATGGCCTTATGGGAACATTTCTTTAGGATCTGGTAGAAGATCTGTAGATACCTACTACCTATGTTGTTGTAAGGTGTCGTCAAGTCGCCTGTGACCATGTACAGTAGCTCCGACACCTGCTCTGTCCTGAGCCAGTCTCACTGACTCGGACACCCCCACCCCCATAAACTTGATAAATGTTGTTAAATCACTGTCCCAAAAGTTTCTGCAGTTTAAGAATCCAAACACCATTTATAAATAAATGTACTTTTAAACAATTGGTATCACCAGTTTTAAAAATCCTTGTTACTTCAGTCAATTTGTATTTTTTCTAATTAGTAAAGTTGAATGAAATTTTCTGTATTACTAGGGTTCCCCCCTATTTTATAATATTCTTCATCTGATTAAGAATTTGTCTTCCCTGTATACCCTGGACATCATGCTGGGCAGAGTGGAGGGACAGCGCAGGAGGGGGAGACCCTCTATGAGGTGGATTGATTCAGTGACTGGGGTAATCGGGATGGGTGTGTCAGAGGCAATGAGATTGGCACAGGATAGAACACGATTTAGGGCTGTTGTACATAGGGTCGCTATGAGTCGCAAACGACTCGACAGCACATAACAACAACAACAACATGTATTTTACAAGGTTACAAAATGACTCTCATATTAAAATTACCCCAAAAGTAATTTCAGAGGAAAAACCAAGTTTTGGACAAGCAGCTTTCAAAGAAATCTGGATTAAAACAATTTCTTTCTTTAACACGTTGCCACAAATGACGGTAACACATTAAAAAAATGTGTTTCTAAGCATGGCCGTCAATTAAAAAAGTGAGCAGCAACGTGTTAACTACATATACAGATTAATAATTCCATCATGGCTGTTAGTTTGGTGGGACTGCTTTGCTTCAAGTCAGTACATTTTTTGCTGGGAAGGTCGGATATTGTTCAGAATGGAAGTAGTATTTTGCAACCAAAGTGCAGGAGGTGCTTTCTGGACGACTGTCCTTCCAGGGCCCATAGCTGCAGCCTGGTAATAACTCTTTGCCAACCATATTAAGTGCAATGCTGAATTAAAAATCAGTGCTGGGTGCGTGGTTCAAATCCACCAGATGCTCTGCTGGAGAAGGAGGGACAATCTCCTCCTGTACCAGTCAGATGGTATACACACACACACACACACACACACACACACAATAAAAATTTTAAAAAAAACCAAACACCGAACAACGCACAAAACACCACCACTACCACCACCAATAAAAAGAATAAAAATTAAAAAAAAACACACACACAACAAAAACCAACTAACAAAAACCAGTGCGGGGGGTGGGCAATATGGTCTTTTCCACTGCAAAGTTAAGGGATGACATAGCGCAACCACTCCATGTTAACAGCCAAAATAACAGACTTAGGAAAGACTAGAGTTTAAGAGACAACAAATAGAATGGTGGAAATTGCTGGGCACGTTGGAAGGAATTGGAGGGTATGCACAGCTATCCCTACATACCAGGATAGCCAGGTTCCTGGCGATAGAGATGGAGCGACTTCAATAGTGCAGGAACAACAGTACCGGAAAAAGACTCACTGAACTCCAGTCGGCCAAATGGAAACCCTGACAGGCATGAGGACAGCACAGTTGGGAAGAGGGAGGTGGTGCATCTGAGGAATGTGGGTGCATGACCACTGGTGAGCTATTAGGTTTTAGCTGAAGTACCACAAGTTATCTACTTTTTTTCCTTTGGCTCCAAGTTTCAAAGTATTGCTGGGGTCTGGAGGTCTGCCTGGAGCCACTCTGAGCTTCTTGGTTTCAATGACGGTCTCTGCGATCATGGCCGCTGGGCTGCCTCCAGATACGGCAGAGCTTCCAAACGCTCCAAACCCAGGGCGGGGCCTTTGGCTTTGTCTTTCTGCATCCCTTCCTTTGCGTCACTTCTCAGCCTGGCCTTCACGTTCTTGAGTCTCTCTGACTGTTCTGAATGCCTTTTCTCCACGAGAACCCATTTCTATGAAGGTTCTGATCTGTGTGCCAGGTTAACATTCTCCTGGCATCCCAGAGCAACAATTTCATCGAAAGCAAAAATCACATTGAAGCAGTGCTCAGAGATCTCATTCTCTTCTAAGGCTCGGCGATACCCAGCAATAACTCATGAAAAGAGCTTTCGGGTCTCCTGATCTTCTAAAAGGTTGCTGGTTTTGGTAACTCTCAGGACCCTGTACATTCCTTCACAGGCTGGCAGCCCTATCTTCCACTTTCTGTTTTAACAAACGTGTATCAATTCCCAGTGCTCATGAGTTTTGCAAAAGCTGTCAATAAACTCAATCTGAGTTCAGGTCATCTCCACAAACTGTCAAGAAACAACCCCCTTTCCTGCTTTTGTGCAAACTGCTGCTGCCAATGGCACCACGGTGAGGCCAGTGGTGGGGCGCACCTGTACCCCGACTCCACTGAGGTTAGGGCTAGGGGAAGGGGAAGGGGAAGGGGAGCCCTGGCCTCTCAGGACCTGCTGCCCCCCTGACAGGAGCCGCTGCCATCTTATATTGTTGTTCTATGCTGTCGAGTTTACTCTGACTCACAGTGACCCTATACACAATAGCTCTGAAGCCTGCTCTATCCTGAGCCAATCGTATTCTCTCTGACACACCTACTTTCTGTGAAGGTTCTGATCTGTGCCAAGTTAACATTCTTCCAGCATCCCAGAGACACCCTATTACCCTAGTCACTCAATCAATTCACCTCATCGAGGGTCTTCCTCTCCTGTGCTGTCCCTCCACCCTCCCAAGCATGATGTCTCTCTCTAAAGACTGGTCCCTCCTTGCAACATGTCCAAAGTATGTCAGACAGAGCTTCAGAATCCTTACCTCCAAGGAGCAGTCTGGTTTCACTCTGTCTAGGATGAAACTGTTTGTTCTCTTAGCAGTCCATGGTACATTCAATACTCTTCTCCAGCACCACAACTCAAAGGCATTGATTCTTCTTCTGTCATTCTTAGTCACTGTCCAGCTCACTGATGCATAGCAAGTAATTGTGAAGACCATCAGGTGCCCCTTCATCTCTAGACTGACATCATTGCTCTTCAGCACTCTGGAGAGGTCCCTGACGGCAGATTTTCCCAATGCAATTCATCTTTTAAGTTCCTGGCTGCTGGTACCAAGAGCGTTGATTGTGGAGCCAAGCAAACTAAAGCTGTGAACAACCTCAATCTCTTGATCGTCTATCAAGATGCTGCCAATTGGCCCAGTGGAGAGAATCTTGGTTTTCTTTTTTCTTTTTGCAACTGGGAAATGTTTCCCATTTTTATTCTTAAAATTATGAATCAAAATTGCAAAGGCAGATTTACAGAGCCACTTCTGGATGAGAGGGACATTTTGGACAGTTCATACGAACACAAACTCAGCTAGAAACCTAGTTAAACTGTGGTTTCTCAACAGATTCCATCCATTCCCACATGTTCTCAATCAGTTCTTCCTTTCTCCTTCCCAACTTGTCGAGATTTGGCTTTACACTCACGCTTTCCTAGTCTTTACCCGATTTCAGCCTGGTGATAAGCACCTTGGTTGGGCGAGTGCCCATGTGCACACGTGGCCTTCTCACACTGACGCTGCACTCTCGGTGGAGGTGACAAACTCCTTCCCGTCCACCTGGGCGACCTTGCCGATCTGCCGACCTCTGTAATGTCCTCGCACCACCTGGACCTTGTCGTCCTTTCAGATGGTCATGGAGCACATGCTGTTCTTCTGCCACAGCTCGGACAGTGGGGAGGACGTGCTCTTCCGGCACACGTGCAAGGAGGCACTGAAATGGGGTCTTTGGTCCTTGCTGCGGTGTGAGGTCATGAAAGGGTCGAACTTCGTGGTCACTGTCAAGCGCCAGGCAGCATCAGACTCTCCTCGCACAAGAAATCTTTCTTTTCTGGATGTTGGACTTCAATCCACATTGAAGGCTGCAGTCCTTCACCTTCGGCAGTAAATGCCTCAGGGCCTCCTTACTTTTCAGCAAGCAGGGCCGTGTCATCTGCATAACACCCGTCTTCTGGGACTAGGTATTGTTATGGTTAGGTGTTAACTGAGCGGACTGTGACTCACAGCGATCCTATGCACAAAAAATCAGAACCCTGTCCCATCCTGTGCCATCCTCACAATTACCACCACGCTCAAGTCAGTGTCTGCCCACCCTGTTGAGGGTTTCCCTCTCTGACCTTCCACCTTTCCCAGCATGGAGTCCTTTCCCGAGGACTCATGTGTCCTCACAGCATTCCCAAAGGACGTGAGGCAAAGTTTCCCCATACTCGTCTTTGAGGAGCCCGCTGCTTGCACTTCTTCAAGGCAGATTGGTTCTTCTTTTGGCAACACACGTATATTCGATGCTTTTCTCCAACATCACAATTCAAAGCCAGTAAGTTTTCTTCAGTGTTCCTCATTCATTTTCCAACTTTCACAAGTATATGAAGCAACTGAAAATATCTTCTATTAATTGGTCATTTATAGTTCCTTTTTTCCAGGATTTTCTCACGTGTGTGTGTTTGAGTATGACCTTTTAATAAAACTGGGATTACACGGGGCATATTTTAAAACTAACACTGCTCTTACTTTAGCTATATTTTGTGATCTGACCCTTTGGTACTATAAACATAGGTAATTTCCCTCCTGAAAAGAATTTTTCACATAATTTATAAATTGCAGGATAATCTCTTCCATGGACCTAACAAACTTTCTGTTACAGCACATTTTGGCTCTTTGTAGTTTTGCTGTTACAAGAAGTGCTTTGATGAATACTTTGGCACAACTCTGATTCTTTCCCTCAGATACTTCTGTAGGTACAAAACCACTGGATTAAATACAAAATTGTTTACACACAAACATTTTGATAAATTTTGATCTCTCTTAAAACACTGTGTCAAACAAATCTGAATTTAAAATACTGAAGAAATTATTTCCCATGAGTCTCTTTAATGTCCTTTAAGAGAGTGTGTAGAAAACGGACTTTCTCCAACTCCAGATTTCTGATACAACTTTGTTGCATCAAACACATCCTGATTGGGATGCTGAAGACATGATTTTCCAAGAGTCAGTACATTCTAGAAAACTTGATCAAAAATAAGCGTAAGTGCAAGCAGCTCCCACTGAAGTCTACGTTCCTCTTTCGCAGATTATCAGTGCACACACACTTCCTCCCATCTGCGCTGTGGCTGATGTTGGTGGTGCTGGTGGGGGGCTGCCGGCTTATTCTGATTCCCCACAAATCAGTGTGTGCCCGGTAAGCAGATACAGGGGCCACAGAAAGTAAGCCAAAAGCCAAGACATTTTTGGGAAACAAAACTGTTAGAATAAGGATGTTAATATAAGCAAATAACAAGCTGTGGATGATCTGTCAAGTTCTCTTCCTGGAGCTCAGATATTGAGAGCTAACTATTTTGCTGTGAACAATTAACTGACAGAAACTTCCAAACCTTTTCACCTTATTTATACTCACCGTTTTGTCTTTCACATTCCAAAACACAGCAGCTCCTTCCCTAATACAAAAGAATGAAAAGATCAGACTGAGTTAAAGGTGAGACATGTTTTCAGCTCACATATAAAGCCGCCGTCTGGAGCGGACCTCTGGGCTGTATGCACCATTTGAAAAGCAGGCTCTGCTGACTGATTTGACATCACAGTCCGTAGCTGGATCTGAAATGACAGCCATCTTTTTGACTTTGACAAATGCTGATCGCCAGGTTGGAATGCTCATGTGGTGCGGGGACTAAGTATTACTGTTAACACTACAGGAGCTCATGGATCTACACTATTTCATACCTATTCCTTTCTGATATGCAGAAATCAGATTAGTAAGACTCCACTGTAGGGGGCATCGGGGCAGAGTCTGCTATGGGGCAAGAGTCAAGGAGTGTGTTTTATTAGTTATGGGATTGAGATAGATGACAGCCTCAGGCTGCTGACAGCAACTACAGAATGCTGTTGTTGCTGTGAGCTGCTGAGTCAGAACCATCCCATAGCTGACCCTCCAGCGGGTTTGCAGAGGCAGTAAATCGCATGGGAGGAGACTGCCCATCTTCCATTTGTTATCAAACGGCGCATCCCCAACGTGTTTCCTGAAGAACCATGATCAAGTCATAGAAGCCTGAGTCCAATTTACAAAGTAAAAGCTATAAATGAACTTGTTCTACTTGATACTTGAAGTTCAACAAGTTGGGTTGATTTTGGTAATGACAAGAGATGGGGCTATGAGCTACTGCCGTGGAGGAAGGAAAGGCGGAAAAGGAAGAGGGTACAAATAGGACGGGCCACCTCATTTCTCAGACATTTCTTGAGCAACATGCTTAGGGCGCATGTGGATCTGTGCTTATATGAGACACAAAGACCAGTATAGTCTAATTCCTACCCTCAAAGACTCCCAGTGTAGAAAAGATTTGGCATATAAACCAACTGCAGCAGCATTTGGCAGGTGCTCTGAGTCATGTCCAGTGTGTAAGTGCTGTCCAGCTGAAGGCCCAGCACGGGGAGCCCAGTGAGTCCACAGAGGAGGAGACAATGCAGTGAGGCTGGGGGAGGGCAGGGGCTCAGCCAGGGGGCTCAAGGGAGCAGGGCACGATCCCTGCACAGCCAGTCAGTGGAATGGCTGGGGAGGTGGGCATTACAGACAGGAGCTAAACACTGAGAGAGCCGCAAGGAGTCTGTCAAGCTGTCAAGGAGTCTGCAGAACATCCAGGGACTTTGAAGCAGGGCAGTGTAATGATCAGAAGTGTCTACTGAAACGTTCATTACCTTGCCTATAAAAGGGAACCTGGTGGTGAAGTAGAAGGCAGGCAGGGAGACTGGCGCTGGTGCAGTAGGCCAGGGTGGGATCTGAGGTATGGACTTCAGACCTACTTAAAAGCCACGGCCAGATCATCAGCTTAGAAATGACTTCTGCACAGAACAGCGCTCAGGAGGCTTTGCACTGCTCTGTCCAGAGTGGCTGTGCAGCATGGCACCAACAAACCACGTGACTCCACAACAAACCACGTGACTCCTGAGCACGTGAACCGGGCCGGCTCCAAACTGATTCACGTGGTAAACATGAGAGGAACGGCTGACTGCAAGGAAGGTAGCAAAACAGTCATTAGGTATTTTTAACTGATTAGATATTAAAACGCTATTTTAACTATTGTTGTTGGGGACCGACCCATAGCTGACCCTTCAGCGGGTTTCAGAGGCAGTTTTCTCATGGGAGGAGATTACCCCATCCGTCTCCAGAGGAGCAGGCTGCTGGCCTCGAACTGTCTGCCTTTGGGATTGCAGTGCAGCTTCTTGCCACTAGGCCACCAGAGGTATGGTGGGTTAAAAAAAGACACTATTATAATTAATGTCAGCCATTTGTGAGATGATTATTAATGCATCCAAAATGAATTTCATGGGGTTTTTTGTGGGTTTTTTTTTTAGGGAGCTCTGGTGGTCTAGTGCCATCACTCAAAGGCACACGGTTCAAATCCACCAGCTGCTCCACAGGAGAAAGATGAGCAATTTCCTCCTGTGCTATTTACAGCCTCTGAAAACCCAGTGAAGGGTCAGCTATGGTGCAGTTCTGACTCGATGGCACACAACAACAACAACTAGAAAATCTACAAGTCCAAATCTACCTGTAAGGTGTGTACCTGTGGTTTACATGCTGTTTCTGCTAGTCCCACGCCACTGCTGTTCTTAACATAATAAATGCAGAGCCTTGATTACTTTAAAGTTAGGGCCAAAAGGAAGGGGAGGCACCCACAGAAACAAGACAAGCTGCGAGTGTTCAGCACCTCTGAGGACCCAGAGCCCAAAGCTTTATGAAAACGTGGACTCTTACAGGCATTCCACATGTCCCTGTCCTGTCTCACGACTACAGGTGATGCCCTAATCCTTCTGACGCTCCATTTCCGAAGCCCCAATGTGGAAATAAAAGACCTTTGTCAAGGGCTGTGAGCAGAATGGGAGATTATGTTAAGTGACCTCTATCAGCAGTACCATTAACTACTCTGTGGGATATAGTATTATAATCCTTTAAATAAAAAGGCAAGGCCCTAATCTGAAGTCTCTGTAGGAGGGAATAAAATACAAGCTAAAAAGTTAGAAAGGAGAGGAAAAGGCAAGAGAGCAGGGGAGGTGTCAGGAGTCTGAGAAGGGGTATTAAAGATGAACATGAACAAAGACGTTGTCTAGCAGCTCCATAGATGAAAACACTGAGATTTACACATGAAGATATGTAAGGGCATTTCTTGTGGTGTGGGAGGAAGATACTTTACTTTTTTTTAAATTTTATTATTTTTGTGTGTGTGTGTGTACCGTCAAATCAGATCTGACCGGTACAGGAGGAGATTGTCCCTCCTTTCCTGACAGAGCATCTGGTGGATTCGAACCGTGCGCCTCTAGGATTGTAGTTGCAGCTCCTTGCCACTAGGCCACCAGAGCTCCCCTGTTTTACTTTTACAAATCATGACTTAAGGGGAATTTACCAGATAAGTCCTAAAACTGGCCGACTTTGCTACATCAAATTAAGAATCACCCACAATAAAACTGGAATAATTTGGGGAACATGTTTTCTGTTGAGATGGACACCTGCACCTTGGCCTACTATTTCTTACCTGAATGTGAGCACATTTCCCCTTGGGCTAGTTGTTATCTTACCTGAAGAAGAATATTGTCCCAGGATCACCTTCTTTTGCAGAACTTTCTACACCCATCACCAAGATATTTGCTGCATCTATGATTTTGAAAAAAAAAAAAATCAAAGAAAAACTCTGCCACAGGTGCACAGATGTAAGACTTACTGATAAACATGTTAACCAAGTACTCACTGACCAACATCTATCGTTCTAAGTTTTTAGATATCATTTAAAATACGAGAATGAAAAGGTCAGAAGAAATTACCCTCACACAACATTCACACAATCTGTGATACCATCATGTGTACTATTTAACATGGCTTCTTCATACTCCTCTTGACTCAGTGACCTTAGTTTTAATAGAACTAAGGTTCAAGAACTAAACTTCCTATAAACCAAAAAAGGTTCCACTGCCATTAGGTCGATTCCCACTCACAGCGGCCTGACAGATCCCTGGAAGTTTGAGTGGTCAGGTGCTGGCAGCTAACTGAAGGGTCAGAAGTTTGAACTCACCAGCTGCTCTGTGGGAGGAAGATGCTGCAGTCATCTGTAAAGATTTTCAGCCTTGAAAACCCCACGGGACAGTGCTACTCTGTTCTAAAGGGTTCCTAGGAGTCACAGTTGACTCAATGGCACCCAATAGTTCTATCATGTAAAGAAGAAATATATTAATATATCAACGCTAATATGTAAAATGTTACATAACTTAAAATTAGGACCCCCAATGATTCCAAATACCTAATACCAAATAACTATGTCTTGGAGAGGGTGCAGCCGGAATGCTCTTTGGAGGCAAGGATGTGAGGCTTCACCTCACATACTTGGGGCATGTTGCTAGAAGGGGCTATTGCTTGGAGAGGGATGTGGTGCTGGGAAGGGTGGAGGGTCTACAAAGAAGAGGAAGACCTTCAGTGCCTTCTGCAATGGGCTCTAGTATCAGGAGGTGTGAGGGCGGCACAGGATAGGACAGCGTTCAGATCTACTACTCATAGGGTCACTGTGAGTCACACTCGACTTGCTGGCACCAAACAACGATAGAGGTTGGGAGAGGGGGTGAAGAATTTAGATAAGAGAACAAACCCTGACCTTCCTTTCTGGGTGACCTCTAACTTCCCTAAGTACTGCATCCCACAAGGACAACGTCCACCTATGCCATCAAACCAAAAACCAACGCCACTGATTCTGATTCGTCGTGACCCTATGTGACAGAGGAGAATGATCCTGGTAAACAGACTGTCCTGCCCCCCCCCCCAAAGACCCCCAGTACTTACGGAGGCAGGGTGCCACCTGCCACCTCTTCCTCCTGCTCAGGTGCTGGGGGTTTGAATCCCCAGGCACGTGGTGAGCAACTGTGCTTAACCACCGAGCTACCGGGGTTCCAGCCAAAAGCAGCACAAAATAACCAGAAGCCCCAGGGCAGTGGAAGTGGAACAAGCCCCCAACGTGCACCACACGGAGCCAGGGGGACAGCATCTGGTGCGTCACCTCAGGGACTCTGGACTCTGTGTCCCTAGGTCAGTTATGCCTGTTCATGCCAAAACAGGCCCGCCCTGTTCAAGATCATCACAGAGGAAAATGCACAATGACAGTTCCACTGTAGCTCATGAGGTCAATGATGTAATATATTTTCATTCTGCCATTCTGAGGTAAAGCCATAAATTTTGAGGCTATCAGGCAATCCAGCCTGCTTTCATTGTAAAATATTTTTCACCAAGGTATTCTTTACTCCTTATTTATAAACTCAGAGGAGGGTATTTTTAAGGATTTTGAAACTCCAACTCTCATACTTTGGCCATGTTGTCAGGAAGGACCCATCCTTGGAGAAAGACTCCTTTCTTAGAAGGGTGAAGATCAGCGCAAGGGAATCCCACTCAACTTAAAGAGGCTGGATTATTTTGGGGGTTTCTACACATCAGGCCAAGAGAAATACGACTAAAACACTCCTTAGCTGCAAGGCCGGCGAGGCTTCACCTTGCTTACTCAGAGAGGACCAAGCTCTACATAAGGACATCACACCTGGTGGAGGGTTCGGTGCAAATGAAGGAAAACCCCCATCAGATGGACTGACACAAGAGGTCCTCCAACAGCCGTTCAAACACATCAAAGCCCAGGAGAATGGCACGGATTGGGCACAGGACTGGGCAGTATACAAGGAACCATCAGGCATCTGAGTTGCTCAAAAGCATTTCTGCCAATCCCAGGTCCTTCTGAGTTGTTGTTGTTGTTACGTGCTGTTGAGTTGCCTGCGACTCATAGCAACCCTATGTACAACAGCCTTAAACCCTGCTCTGTCCTGTGCAAACAGGAGATGCGTGACACAGCCTCTGCTCATTCTAAATAACAGTGCTCTTACTTAATAAATCATACTAATTTTAATCTATGAGAACTAGGTTCTCTGTGAACACACTATAAATTCTTATCTTTCTATGTCCTCTGTACAAATAACCTAAACACCACTTTTAGGATACAATTCTTTGTGAAAAAGAAAATGCAAATACATGCACCCTTAAGACAGTACCGTAGAATTCTCTTTTCGCACATCTGGCCGCACATTCAAGAAACTGTACCTCTAGGCAAGCTTGTTACTTCCACATATCCATGGGCGGTCAGATCCTGGGAGAGATTTCCAAGGTGGTATTCATCTGCGGTGGCGAACGCGATGCAGTGCATCATGTCCTGTTCCAACAAGACCAGCACAGTTACCTGAGGGCCCAAAGGCTGCAGACACCTGCTGTTGCTTCACAGGGCTCAGTTTTGCAAAGCCAGCACGTGAGTGCTTTCTGAAAACATCTAAAAGGCTGATGGAAAGGGCATGATAAGGATGAACAGAAAGATTTCAACTCCATGTATGAAAGTGCTCACTACTGCCACCTGGGAAAATGACAAGGGTTTTCCTGAAAGCTGCTCTCAGCCAGCAGCACCACAAACCCACGGAACAAAAACTGCAGAGGAGAGAAAGCCCTCCCAGGGACACTGGGTTCATTGAGGGTTCAAGTCTCCCCTGGCCTGAGGGGAAGAGGGCTTATGTTCTGGTGTTTTCATTTTTCTGATTTATTAATGTTATATATTTTAAAGCCTTGTTATAGTAAAGGGATGATGTTTAAAACGAAACAGAAAGGTTTGGTTTTGGGGGTTTTTTAACAGCATCACTGTTAGTTAAAATCATTCAATAAGTTATCACTAAGCTCTGGTGGCCCAGTGGCAAGAAGTTGTGCTGAAATCCTGAAGGCTCACATTTCAAGGCCACCAGCTGCTCAGGGGGAGAAGGATGAGCCAATCTCCTCCTGTGTGATTTACTGCCTCTGAAAATCTGCTAGAGGGTCAGCTATGGGTCGATTCCGACTCTATGGTACACAACAAACTAATACAGGCAATTATAAGACTTTGAAGAAATTAGTGTTCTTACTGTGGTTTATACTATGCAAACTAGTCTGTACTCCTGAGAACATGCACAGGTCTGCTTGGTGCCCGAGACCATGTGCTGAGTCTGCTCTGTTTGGCTATTCACACTGTGTATTATAAGTTGTGGTTAAGAGCCGTCAAATCCGAACTGAGTTCTAGCTGATCTGCCAGCAGGTTTTCAGAGGCTGTAAATCGCACACAGGAAAACTGTCCACCTTTCTCCTGTGGAGCAGCTTATGGATTTGAACTGCTGGCCTTTGGGCTGGCAGTACAACTCCTTATCTGTAGGCCACCAGAGTTACTACATGCACATACACACATATTTTTATTTTGCAGGCTCTGGTGGACTAGTGGCAGGAAACTGCACTGCAATCACGTAGGTGCACAGTGTGAAGTCACCAGCTACTCCTCAGGAGAAAAATGGGCAATCTCCTTCCGTGCAATTAACTGCCTCTGAAAATCCACTGGAGGGTCAGCTGTGGGTTGGATCTGACTCAGCAGTATACAACAAAAACATCACATATATGACAATCATATTGCACAATGGTTATTTTCTTTCTTTCACACAACCCATTAGAGAGTCCTGACATCAATTTACTTGGCCATAAACAGGTTTTGGGGGAACCAAAAATGACACTGTATCATTGATACTAAGGGTAAATGTTACTTCATGAAAGTGGTACATCATGTATGTCTATATAGGTGCAAATACTGGTTCATACGGTAAAAACCTACTTCTTACTGTGGATGAGGGGGAATGTGAATGCTACAGCACAGCAGATAAGAGCTGAGGTACATTATTTGATGAAAACATGTAGTTGAAAATTAGCAGAATAATAATGTATACTTGATGGAGAGTTAAACAAGCTGAGAAATGTAATCAGTTACAATTGGCCTGCGTGTTCAACATCTGTGTTACTGTTTTTGTGGATTCATGAATGTTTAGTAAGTCTGAGTGACTGAAAAACTTATAAGAGCCATTTTCACATGTTCATTGTTTGTTTTCTCATGTCTACTGCTCAGTACATCAGTGACCCTATAATCTTTTCATAGTTACAGTACAAAGAGCTGCAATTGCTCAGAATTAGTAGGGGAATAACTAAAATCAAGCAGAACCCTGGCTGGTGGAGTGGGCGATGAATTGGGCTTCTAACTGAAAGACTGCTGGTTTGAACCTACCAGCTCCTGCAGGGGTGAAATACGAGGCAGTCCACTCCCATAAACATCTACATCCTCAGAGACCTAGAGGGACAGGTCTGCCCTATCCTGAGGGCCACTAAGAGTTAGAATCTACCTGACAGCAGTGAACTTGGCTTTGGTAAAATCAGAATTCAGTCCTACAAGGGATTATCTCAGCTCGCAACCCCTTCCCCTGCTCCGGAATGCTACACAGTAGGACATTCTTCCTGCTTCCCCAACCGTCACGTTGTGGTGGTATGGTGGGTTCGGCATTGAGTTGCTAACCAAAAGGTCAGCAGTTTGGACTGACCAGCTGCTCTGCTGAAGAAGGATACAGCAGGGGACCTCTAAAAATGACAGCCATGGACATCCCACGCTGGCATGGGCATCTGATGGACGGGGGTGCTTTGGGCCAGAATCGATGGGCCAGCAGAGGCTGGGGCTCTGGTGTGGCCCCTGCCCCTCAAGCTTCCAGATGGCTTGGACGTGGACTCCCAAACAGTGGAGGAATAAACAGAAGACCTAAGACAGCACACACAGACGAAAAAGCTAAAAGCAAGAGAGAAGAGAGTGTCCTCTAATAAGCCAATTGAAGATTCAATACTTGACAAACTGACACCAGGGGTGGGTGGACACGACAGATGAAAACGGATGATGTAACTGTTTTACTTTGTAAACTTTCACTCACACACTAAATAAAATAGTACATGTTTTGTTTTGCTTTTTTGAAAAAGATGAAATGGATGCCTTCCTTTTATAGTCATGGGAAAAGTCAGTCCCCAACATCACAGGTACAGATGAGAATAAGACTGCGACAAGGTGCCAGTACAGGCGGCTGGCGGAGGACAGTCACTGATAACACGCTACAGGTGTCGAGCTGCAAGCATCACCTCTTATTCTGAGGCTCTACAGATTAAGTATGAAAGAGACCCCTAGTGCTATAGGGAGCTCCCTGTGCACTGCTAACCAAAAGGTCAGTGGTTCAAATCCATCACACACTCCTCTGATGAAAGATGGGCAGTCCTCCAGATTTCTTGGTATAGACTAGTTGGCCCATCCAAGGCTGCACAGGTTTGCGGAAACTCCTCAAGTGGTATTCATAGGAGTTACGATGGACGGAGTGGTTATGGATATGACATTACAGACATGTACTAACAACACGGATATGTCATTATGTCCAAAAGACAAGAGATTTACGTCTTGCCAGGCTCACCTCTAAAGAGCATTCTCACCACCCTTCTTCCGAGTGAGGCTTGCTCATTCTGTTGGAAGTCCCTGGTATGTTCAATATTCTCCAGCGACGCCTTACACGTCCTCCTCATGCATCACGGATCTGTTTAAGCTATCGCTTCTAGCAACCCTTCTCCAGTCTTCCTTATTCACTGTCCAGCTTTCCCGGACATTGCAAGGGGACTGAAAATACCTTGGCTGGATTCATATGCACCTCAGTCCTCAAAGCTTTGCTTTTTTAGACACTTTTTTATTTTTAGCCAGGATACACGGCATTGTAACTTATTCTCAAATGATAGGACAAAACTGATGCATACAATTTTGTTGTTGTTGTTATGTGCCATCGAGTAGCTTGCGACTCATAGCGACCCTATGTACAAGAGCTCTAAATGCTGTTCTATCCTGTGCCAACCTAGCCATCTCAAACGCACTTATTCCCACCGCCCCAGTCACAGAATCGATCCATCTCACCAAAGGTCTTCCTCTCCTGCGCCGCCCCTCCACTCTGCCAAACATGATGTCCCTCTCCAAGGACCAGTCCCTCCTTGCAACATGCCCAAAATATGTCAGACGAAGCCTCAGAATCCTTGACTCCAGGGAACACTCTGGCTTCACCCTCTCCAGGACAAACCTGTTTGTTCTCCTAGCAGTGCATGGTATACTTAACACTCTTCTCCAGCACCACAGCTTTTTATATATTAATATTTTTATATAGAATTATCTTATAAACATGGAATACATAATTGATAATATATATGATCAGCACAAGGACTTGAGTACTGAGGACAGAGAGGTTTTACAAGCAGGAAGAAGCTCTATAAGACACTTTGCCATCATGACCGACTCAAAGCTGACCTTCCAGGGGGTTTTCAGAGGCTGTAAATCACACATGAAGAGACTATCTTTCTTCTGAGAAACAGCTAGTGGATTTGAACCACCAGACACTCACCCTTTGGGTTAGCAGCACAGCTACCTTTAGCCAACAGCACTAGAGTGGCCTTACAATTTGAGATGTCAATAATACTTTTAAAAGAGTCTTCATATCAAATCCACATCTCTATTATCTTTTGATTAGCTGGAAAATCTGGCTATATATCAGGGCAGGGAAGGGAGTCAGCGTTCAGCTCAGACAGTCCCTGCTACATCCTTTTGTCCCACGTCTGTCTGTTTAATTTGTCTTTTATTTTAGCTGCCAGAACCATGGAGGTACTTCTGCAATCAATCCGGACATTTTCCGTTTTGGAAAACTGAGATCAATACACATGTAGCAAACATCTGCCATTTCAGCACTTGCATTCTTCACGTGTAGTTCTGTGCACCACCAGCGACAGGAAGTGTACCACTCCCTACCTATGAGTCTGCATCTCCACCCCAAAACTTTAAATTAGTTAGAACTTTCAAGAAAAAGACAATGCAAGGCCTCGGGTCACTAGTTCTCTGAGAAACTGTACTCAAGTTTCAGATAGGTTATGAAGAACTGGTTTTACTCAGCCATTTCAGGGATCTGAAAACTGTCACTTCCCTTTCTCTCAGCACGTTACAGTAAGTCTGGCTCTAAGTTCAAGCCAATTCCTCTGAGCTTGTGTGTTTCCTTCTGAATTAACCTGGATCTCTGTCTACACTCTGCCTGCTTCCATCAAGATGAGTCCCAAAGTCTTCCAGTTTGTGTTTTTTAGACCCCTCATTTAGTGTGAAGTTTTTCTTTAAGCCCACTTGGGGAAGGGAAGATATTCCACAGGGTCTTGCCTTTGAGCGTTTCCCCCGTTAATGAACGATGTTGCTGCTTTGTGAGATGCTCATATTTTCACGCATGGATTTGCTTCTAGACTCTTGCTTTTTCAAAAGTGACTCATGATTTATAATGT